AAAGAGAATAGAAAGCCAGAACTCATGCATGTTCCTGGGTTGCAGCAACCCCACTGAAGCCAGGGGAAGCAGTGAGCATTGGTGACACTACTGTCTCCTCATAGTTTTCCTCCATCTCTTCTGATCCTAAGCTATTTTGGGATCTTCCTGGGAGAAAGGAGTTGGAATTCTTTTCAGAATTGGGAAAATCATTAATTTAATGCTGCTCCCACTCTTCTCCATCCCCTGCCCCAGCTGTGTAATCTTGCCTCTAACCGTGCATGCTCTAGTTAATAAAAAGCACTGAAATACAGGTCCAGTGCCTGCTATTTCCAGGAATGTTTGGTCCCATAAAACCATAGGAAACCATAATTTCAACAAATTAAATCAGTTACTGCCTATCTTTCTGGCTGAATGCATGGAAAAGGAAGAGCACCCTGCTGGCTCCATGCATGGGGAGTAACACCAGTCAAATTCCACCAGTGTCCATCCTGGGAAAGGGAGGCGACAGGCACGTCTCCTTTGAGCAGACATTAAAGGAATGCCATATGCAATAGGGAAAATGTACAGTGAGTACTGAGCTCATCAGTCATTTTTTGTTTAATCTAATTAAACACAATATATCCTCTGACCTTCAGGGCTGGCACTAAATTCTCCTATGTTGTTCTTTCCATACAAAGTTCTGTTGACAGATGGGGAAAGCCTATAGTTTGCTTTAAGCTTCAGATAAGTAAAGTTAAACATGCAGCAGATAAAATTGTTTTCCCAGCACTCTTCTCCCACCAGCCAATTGTGGGTGCTCACTTGGAGGGCTTCACTCCTCTGGCCTTCATCTCACCCCCAGCTTGGGGATGAGCTTGTGGCCAGCAAAAGCTGTGAGAGGGCAGAGGCAGAGGCAGAGTGCTGCAGAAACCCTGGAAAGTTCATTTTTAGTTGGTTCTGACAGTGCTGAGCTTCGTTTCCATGTGGCAGACTATTGAGGAAAATGGTGCTACTCCTTGCTAAATATATTTCCAGAGTCACTAAATAATTCACTTAACACCCAGTCACTTGGCATTTGCTGATACTGAAGCAGGTTTTAAATAAAAAATGTAGAATTGCATCAGACACCTTGTGCATATTCCCTGCTTATACAGGTTGTACACTGTTGCTGTGTGTGCAAGAGTGCAATTGGTCAACACTGCTTCGTGAGTTTTCAGGGAGGGAAAGCATACACAGAGCTGGATTTGGGGGAGAGCAGGGTATCCGGGTGCCACAAGCAGGTGCAGGCTTTGATCATGCAAAAGAGTTGGAAGTGTGCTCACCTTTTTGTATGACAACCTGCAGGCTCACTTCCTTGCAGGCAAATGAGAAGAGCACATATCTGCCTTTTACCAGCATCACTTGGTAACATCACCTGCAAAGCTATTTCTTCCGGTATATTGAAAAATCCTTTAGTCCTAGTTTGGGGAGTTATTGCAGATAACTAGTCCGTGTACGTAGAGCTGTACCTGTGCTCCTGGACGTACAAGCAAATAACTCCTTGAAATGTAAACCAAAAGATACAGACAAGCCTGGAGGCAATAACCTTATGGTTCCCAACAGGCCATGTTAAAGAAGATTTCTTTACTGTAAATAGCTTTTAATACTCCCTTTGTCTATTAATAGCACCAGGCAGGGCAGGAGGCAGCAGCCTGCTGAGCACAGAGGGCCTGTTTCCTGCACATGGCTGTGGAGTCGGTCTGGAGTGCTGTGAAGCTCATGGTTCTGATTTCACATGGCCAACTGCAAGGCCCTGACATGGGGGTTGGCATGACTGGGATCCCCAGCCATCAGCTTTGAGATCCCTAAACACATCAGTGTTTGAATAAACACAGACCTCCTGCTGGAAGCCCTCAGCCATCCCCAGGGGCTGCAAAGGACCCTGCAGGTAGTTACAGCCACCTAACATCTCTCTTGGAGCTCTAGGGAAAGTAAAAAGGCTGACTTTTTGGAGCAACTCTTTACCTAGGGAGAATTTTGTTATCTTCAGGCAAAGGGGGTGGCAGGATCACTGGAGGCACTGACCACTGTTGCTCCTTCATGCTCCAGCCTCCACCTCTTCTCTGCTGCCTATCAGCAGCCCCAGAGACCAGATAGATGGAGTCATGCAGCTGCTGGTTTACTAGGGGAGCTGCCCCTTGCAAAACTCACTGCCTTTTGAGCACTCCCACAACAGAGTGACAGGATGTTTTGTATAGATACATATACCCCCCAATAAAGAATGGACCCAGCAGGCTGCCCTGCAAAATGAACTGTGCGTGCTGGGCAGTAATGTGTGATGGGCTGTGGGCGTGGAAGGGCTTCCTTTTGATGATGAAAACTTTCCCTCCTTACACTGGGAAGGGGCTCAGGCATATACCAAAAATCCAAAGAATCCTGAAGGAATTGCAGAGAGGATGGTCCCTCCTCTTTTCTGCAAGTGCCCATGTGGTTGCCCCTGCAAAGCCAGGGAGAAGGGGCTGTGTGAAGCAGAAAAGCAGGTGACCCATGTGGCAGTGACAACTGGCCTCTCAGTCTATTTCCAGCAAGCTGGGAGTGACTTGAAATGGATGAAAGTGCCTCAAGTCTCTCCATAAAGAAAATCGTTACACCTCCTTAAAACTTGGGTTGGAAATGCCTGAATGTCTGCCCGAAACTGGGTGAAGTCCAGATGAAAATGTTTCCCTCTGGTGCGAAGGGGGTGCTACCCATTCCTCATGTCGCTGTGCTGAGTGTCTGGCTTTTGGTCTCGTCCAGCTCAGCAGAAGGGTTGTTATGTTTTTTTGTCTCCAGGGGACTCAGAGCCATTACAATGCCCTGGGAGCAGTGCTGGAGCAGAGTGCATTGCTCCTGGGAAAGCCCTGGCAGAGGGAAGCTGGGGGGGGCTTGCCCTGCTTTAGGGGCTGCTTGCCTTCATTCTGCCTGTGTTTTGAAGTACCTCATGTTTTTAGCTATAAAGCTCTAACCACCAAAACCCAAAATCTTGGCTTGGTAAGGCACGTTGCCTTGGAGTGTTTCCTGGGACTGAGTGACTTACGATGCTGTGCTGCAAGCAGGGGGAAGGGCTCCTTGTTTTAGAGAAGGTGGGTCACACTCGTCCGGAATCCAAACTCCCTCGGAGACTTTTTTGTCCCCGTTTTTTTTTCATGACATCAGCCAGGACTTGATGTTACTATTTTAAAAACAAAAGGAGGGGACACCCCCCCACTTCCCTCCTGCTCTCTGCCAAAAGAACAAAGAACAGCTAAAGCACACAAGTTCTGGCACTCTGTTTGGAAATAAAAACATTCATCCTCATGTCAGGTATGGAACTGCCCGGCTCTCCTGCCAAAGCAAGCAAACTGGGAGGCAGCACAGACCCATGGCGCAGAGAAGCCTGGGCAAAGGGGATGCCTGGTGTCACCCTGTGCTTGGGCAGCTCCTTGCCAAGCTCCTGCACTGCTGGCCAGGGTGTGCTGGGATGCTCCTGGCCATGGGCAGGCACCCAGGAAAGGGCTACCCTGTTCCTCCCAGCCTGGGAGGTGGGGAAGGACCTTCCTCCCCTCTCCCACCCCTGGTTCCCACTGCTTGGGCAGACCCTGCATCTCCATGTGATATGTCCCCTCTCCCCAGCAGGGCTGGTGGATGGCACGGGGATAACCCAGTCTAAATTCCACGCTTTAGACACTAACATCTTTGTCTGGCTTCTTCCTCGCCATTTAAACATGTCAGCAGTTCCCAAGCATGGATTCCTGTGCCGTGAGTTCACCCCCAGCAAGCATCCAAACTACAAGTCGAGGCTGCTGGCTCTTCCCTGCCCGTCTGTGAAGCATTACTGGAATAGTGGCCAGTCCTCCAAACACGAGGAAGAGATTACTTGGGCTTTCTGGGAGGCTCCCTGGCATGCCTTCAGGGCAGAGCAAATGAGGATAATTTATCTGCAGGCTTCCAGCTGAACCCAGAAGCTCAGAGCTGCCAGGACTACACTGTCTTGCTCTCGCAAGAAGGCATTTTTCCATTGTCACTGTTGTATATTGTTCACATGATTTGTTTGTACCATCACGTTCTGGGGCCAAGATAAGAGGTCATCCCCCTGCCTTTTACTGGAGACATGTTCCCTGGGACAATCCAGGGAAAAGCTCTCGCAGGACAGAGCACTTGAAGGAGGCTTTCGTGTTCAATGCCACCTTCGTTAGTCATGTACATAGTTTTGTGCAATCTATCTGGTGAGAAACACAGCATGTCAGAGGGGAATTGTTCTCTAAACTGCAGTTACAGATGGGCCAAAGCAGGCTGAGCAGTGCACATGGACCGCCAGCTTAATGAGCACAGCAGCTGCCCCTCAGGAGGGAACAAAAGCCAGGCAGTGAGCCTCTGTGTGCTTGTGCGAGCGGCTCTTGTTTCCCACAGGAGCTGGATTCAGTTTTGTGGCCAGATAGCAATCCTGGGTTCCCTTCCTCACTCCATCTGCTGTGATCTAATGCGGTGCTCAAGGATGGGTTAATGTCCCTGCTGCTTCTGCAGGGGGATGTGGGGAGTAGAGACACGGCAATGCAGACAGCTGAGCCCTCTGTAGCAGAAGCAGCCAACTGGAACAACACTGTAACGCCATCCACTTTAGTGAAGTTACTTGTGATTTTTGAATGGAGAGTGGGGGCCCAGTGGCTCCACCTTGGCACAGCACAATGGGAAAAGAGCAGATTCTCTGTTTGCTTCCACTGCAGGGGGATGTGGGGAGTAGAGACACGGCAATGCAGACAGCTGAGCCCTCTGTAGCAGAAGCAGCCAACTGGAACAACACTGTAACGCCATCCACTTTAGTGAAGTTACTTGTGATTTTTGAATGGAGAGTGGGGGCCCAGTGGCTCCACCTTGGCACAGCACAATGGGAAAAGAGCAGATTCTCTGTTTGCTTCCATCCTGGCTGCAGCGCAGCGCCTCTTTCACTGTCCCCAAAACAGCTGTGTGCTGCCTGAAGTGACTTTACAGACAGTAAAAGCTTAAAACATTGCATTCACCTTCATGATTGTTTTTCCCTTTAGAGCAAATCATGGCGGAAGATCAAGAATATGGTGCACTGGTCCCCGTTTGTGATGTCTTTCAAGAAGAAGTACCCTTGGATCCAGCTAGCGGGACACGCAGGTACAGAGCATGGGGAGGGGCAGAGCGGTGGGAATGCTCTTAGTTATCTCAGGTTAATGAGCTTTGTTGGCCTGAATTGCTTCTGACTGCTGCATGAGTGTCACAGCTTGCAGCTCCCATGTCTCTAGCCCAGGAGAGTGACCTAAATACTAAGGAGGGTGATGTGAAGGTGCAGTGCTCTGGGCTTTCAGTGTCTCAGGGCCAGGAGGTATTATTGCTGCTTTTTACTCAAGCAGCATAAAGCTGGTGGTCCTTTGAGTGAAACCTAAGCCTTGCTGATCCAAAGCAAAGCAGATGTTGACCTACATAAATGTGCCCCACAGATGAGCCTAAAGACAAAAGTGTGACTCTACTGTGGAGCACACAGAGGATGTGAAACAAATGTGTTGGGTGCTGCAGGACAGGTCTCTGCCCTGTTTGAGGTGGGACAGCGCTGGTCATAAACCACTGGCAACACAAAGCTTTTAAGTCTCAGCCTAAGGGGACTCTTTTTGGTGCAGGTGTAAATGGAAATACTTCCAAGGTGTTGGGCTGCCCTTCTTGTTTTGAGAAGGCACAGCACCATCCCCCATCCAAAGCAAGTGCCACATTGTCCCTTGTCACCCTCAGGTAGTTTCAAGGCAGCAGCTAATGGCAGGATACTGAAGAAGCACTGTGAATCAGAGCAGCGCTGCCTCGACCGGCTGATGAATGATGTCCTGAAGCCCTATGTTCCTGCCTACCATGGTGATGTCGTGAAGGATGGGGAGCGATACAACCAGATGGAAGATCTCCTGGCTGAATTTGACTCCCCTTGTGTTATGGACTGCAAAATGGGGGTCAGGTGAGTGGCTCTGGGGATGTTGTGTGAGTTTTAAGATGGGATACTCAAAGAAAATGTCTCTCCTGGGTAAAACTGCCTGAAACACACAAGTAACAACACCAGCCTCGCCTGTCTTCAGGAAAAGCTAAGCCAACAGCGTGAGGAGAGAGCCATGGGGAAACCTGGATTTGGTAAGGGCACACTAGGCTCCTTTGTTCTCTGCTTGTTGACTGTCCTGTGTGCTTGAAAGTGTTTTGGTGTGGCAGAGAGGCAGCACTCTAGGTTTGGATACACCAGAATGGCACAGTAGCTTTTAGGAGGATGGCAGCCTTCCTCTCTCTGCCACATGAGGACACAGTCAAGGGGCAGGGAAGAAAAGGTGTAGAAGAACCTGCCCAGGGTGCCAGAGAGGTGAAATAAAGATGTTTGAAAGGCACAAGAGCAAGAAAATTTCCCTCTGCTCAGCTTTTGCTCCTATATGCACTGGAGGCATAAAACATGTGTGCTAAGTAGTTTTGTGCCTTTCAAGCAAAGTTCTTGAAATGTTTCCTAACAGATGAGCAACACTACCCGTGTCCTCCTTGGGAACCATCTGCAGATATGCCAGGATCCCAGGCTGCAGCCACTTGGCTAGCAGCAGTTTTTGAGTGAGCAATGCCACAGCTGAGAATGGTGTCCCAGAGCAAATGTGAGCAGGGCTGGTGACCCCAGGGGGCTGCCAGTTTTGGAACAGCCTCAGGTCACCACTCGACCCTGGATTTGCTGTAGGCTGGTGGCAGGGTAGGTTGAGACCCCCTTAGCTGGGTGCAGCCCAGACGTGGTGGAGACACTTGCGCTGCTGGAAAAGCTGATGGCTTCTGTGGGAGGGAGGAATTTCCTCTCCTGACATCCCAGTGTGAAACTCGAACTGGTGTGTTGGGCTGTCAGCAAGGAAGAGATGAGGTATAGTTTCCACCAGAGGGGTGGAAAGAAGGGCAGGGGGCCTAGCACAGCTATGTGGCCCCAGCTGGCACACACCATGCTGCTACAGGAGGGAGACAGGATCCGCTCTGGACCCAGAGATGACAGCCACCAGAAGAAGACCTGCTGGTCGTGCTGCCCAGGTGTTCCTGTGGCTCTGCCTGGGAGGAAGAAAGCCTCCCATGCACAGATCACAGGCTGGGTGATCTGTGCACATGGGGTCTTGGAGCTCAGGCAGGCAGAGCAGGCAAGGGGCAAACATGCCAGGCATCATCATCTTTAAATAAGACAGTGCTGTGAGAGGAGCTGGTGAGGGAGGGCAAAATGAGTTAATGCTGTGGAGTGGGTCATTCCCGTGGCTGAGCAAATAAACTAAACCTCAGGGCTGTTAAATCTGTCATCTGAGCCAGCAGCTTGCTGCCAGGCAGATAGAGGTTTGGGGTTTTTCCTGCCAACCTGGCTTTGGGATGCAGCAGCCTACTCCAGTCACTCCTAAACAAAACTTTGTCTTTCTTAAGCCCTGGTAATGGTTCAAGCCTGAGGCAATGGTGGGGACCAAGCCACAGACATAGATGATCTGTCATTCTCATCCAAAGGAAATGCAACATGAGCAGCACTTCTAACATGTCGCTGCTTTATTCTGCTGTTTCGCTCCACCTGCCCCAAAATCATGGGTTTGGTGATCTCAGCGGAAGACTTCCACTGCTTTTATCTGCAGTGTTTTTCAAAAGGGTTGATGTCCTGGGGGTGCTTGGTCATCATATGCTTGCCTAGAGTAAAGGCACCAGGTTACTTTGCTAAGCCTGTGGGACACATAGGAACACTGTCCCACATAGTCTGCCTAATACCCTTGCTTGGTTCTGAAGGTGAACCACACAATCAGTGCTGGGATTTCGGCACAAGAGATATGGGCAGAGGGTACTCTTCCTGTGCAGAGCTAGGCATAGCTAGTGGGAAGTGTAGAGCAGTTTGGATTGGGGAGGAAGGAGGTGACAGATAGGGTCATTCCTGTGTTGTTTGCTGGGACACTTCACCCAGCTTGGTGAGTCCTTTGAGGAGAGGGATCCTGGGCACTTGAGAGGCTGAGCCACAGAAGGTTTGGGAGCTGCAAGAGGAATTCCATAGTGGCTTATTAATGCTGCAGGAAGTATTACTTTGTGGATGATGGTTTTCTGTATGCCTGAGTGCAGAACTTCTTCATTTCTATACTGTGACACAGAGGGGTGCTCCTCTGAAGGATGCATAAAACCAGGGTCTTTGCACACTCCTCTGCACCTTGCATCCTCCTTGCCCCATTCCCCCATCCTGGCTGCACCCTGTTGTCCTGGGGTGATGGTAAGCACCTGGCCAAGGCTGCATCCCTTCTTCTGCTCCACCTTGTAGAGAAAACTTTTGTTAGATAGTCCACTTAAACCAATGCTGGGCCAAATCATCAGTGGAACACCTCTTTGTGAAAACACTCTGTTTAGCAGCCAGTGAGGCACAGCCCTTGAGGTGCACAGAGTGGGGTAATTGGAAAGCACAGGAGAGACACAGGAGTGGATTTGGCCCACATTGGGCAACCCTTGGAGGGAGGAGCAGATGATGCTGAGGGCTGGGGCACAGTAACCTCCCTCTTGCCCTCAATTCAGCTGGGTCCCAAAGCATATGAGCAATTTCCTCGGCACATCTTGAAAGCAATGTTTAGTTTGTGAGAGCCAAGGTACTGCTCAGGTTTCCTGAGCATTGGGGTCAGGTCCCCCAGGACAAGAAGTGGCAGCAGGAGGCTGCCAGTGGGACAGCAGCAAGACCATGAGCACCTGTGAGAGATAACCTCCCTTGTTACTGGCAAACTGGTTGTTGTTCCTTGATGAACTAAAAAGATATCGTGTGTTGATGATGGAGTGATAATAAAATCAGAATCAATTCACCTACAATGAGGCTTGCTCCATTATTTCCTATGCTGCTCTACTCCTTAGGGATCAGCTATCCTGGATAAGCCTAATTTCTGGGGCAAGGACTATCTGTGGATATATGTCACCTCGTGTGGCGGCACTGTGGCACTGCTAATATACCCTCCTCACTCATTGCAGAACCTACTTGGAGGAGGAGCTGATAAAGGCCCGGAAGAAGCCGAGCCTGAGGAAGGACATGTACCAGAAGATGATTGAGGTGGACCCTGATGCCCCCACTGAGGAGGAAAATGTGCTACGGGCAGTAACCAAGCCCCGCTACATGCAGTGGAGGGAGACTATCAGCTCAACTGCCACACTGGGCTTCAGGATCGAGGGGATAAAGGTGAGTCTATTCCAGGTGTGCAGAGCAGGGAATCAGCTGCTAGGAGTGTTTAGTAGCCAAACTCATTGACAGAGGTACACATGCAGCAGACTGGTGGCAAGACCATGTCACATCTGGACATCTCCAGCCCCTGCAGCCAAACCAACACCCTAGCCTGGGGCAGTGCTGCCTCTCACATCCTAAGATATGAGAGCACAGCTAAGCTTAGGGCACCCATGCAAGAGGACAATTTTAGCCATAATCTCATTAAATCAGATGCTTGGTTAATTTCCCTGATTACAAAATGTAAAGTGTCATACTCCATCTCGAAGACTCAAATTAGTTGTTTGCTTTCAATACTGCCGTGCCATTAAGCTGAGCCATTAATCCAAATCCCAGCTTGAACATGTGCCGATCTGCGCTTGGAGCTGTGAGCTTAGCCACAGTCAGTAAGGAGGATGTATTTACATGCCTGTCCTGAAAACTTCAGCAACTGAGCCATATGAAATGGGGCAAATACAAGCAGCAGCACTTTCCGTCAGCACTTGCACACGTGTGTAACCTGCTGACTGTGCTTGCTCAGAGCAGCACTCACATTTCTAAAGATACCTGCTGGGATGTTTTTGTATCCCCATTAGATGAGCCAGCCTAGGAGATTTTCTCCTGGTGAGCAGGTTTTGCAGCAAGAGAGTTTTCTGGGATGGCAGTTGAACAGAGGTAGGTCTGAAACTGCAGAGCACTTGTATTAGAGATATAAGACTTGCATGAATATTAGCAATGGCATATGCCTTTTGAGAGCCAGCCAACGTGAATTAAAGGGAACATCACACTTGAGCCAAGGGTTTCTTCGCATGCCTGGGCATGGTGTTGGCTTAGCAGCCAAGGGGAGCTCAGTCAAGTCATGTTTGCAGTAATTCAGGCTTGGGGCACTGCTGAGAGCCCAGGTGGTAGCTCAGGGTGGCTGCTCACTCTTACTGAAAACAGTGGCTCAATTTCTACATGCATCTCGGTTGGAGGAGTTTCTTTCTCTTGATCACAGATTGTTTTTCTCCTGTCTGAGTTGGGCAGGATTCTCCCAGAGCACCCATCTGGCCTTAAACTCCGCACCTCTCCTGCCTGGAGATAGCAGTGTCAAAATGATAGAATTAAAACAAATGAAGCTGTTCCTCAATAAAGCCCTTACACCAGATTTTGTAGACTTGCCGGGTAGCGTTCCCCTTCACCTCACCAAACAGCAAACAAATGCAGGTGTTAGACCATGGGTTTAAAAGGGTTACTTACAGCTGATAACTTCTAATTATCCACATTCCAAACCACCAGTGAGAAAGGAGTTGTCTGTTCCTCTGTGTATGTTGCACACAGGGAGGAGGGCCCCTGCTTCATTCAGCTGTTTCACGGCCAGCAGAGGACAGTGCATTTATCTCTAACTCAACCGCTCTCAGAAACCCCAGGAGTAGCCCTTGGGCCAAGCCCCTTCAAGAGTTTTCTGGCAGGCAATGCAAGGCACTCCTGCCTGTCCCATGGTCCTGTCTGGGATGCTGCTGGCCATGGTCCCCCCCCCAAACATCTTTCTGCAGTGTCTACATTGGGTCAGAGCACTTGCTTGCTCATGCAGCACTTCCCTTATCTCCCAAGCTCTCCCACAGACCCTTTAGTGCCATGGGTGCCCATAAGCATGCTGTGAGTTGCTCCAACGTGGGACAACCCTTTGCCTAGTTCCCATTGCTGCTGTTCTGCTGGTGCTTATTGTAAAATTGAAGCTATATAAGAAAGGAGTGGACCAGCTGGGACCAAACCTCCCATGCACTGTTTCTTCTCCCGGCTTTCTTGGTATAATCAGAAATCTCTATCTATTTATAGTCCAACATGATAGATCCTTGGCCTCCAGCAGTGCTTCTTAGCCTGTCATCTGGGGATGTTTAATGGGCTTTACAATAAGAGCAGGTCATATGTGAAACACTTGAAATGAAAAATGTGAAAAATACCACAAATCATGTTCCCACAGAAGAAAAAAACAACAGCACTGTGGAGGGAAATAAAAGCCATAAAGGAGTGGTGAGATTTGCACCTCTGTTTCAGCTGACTGTGAGTTTCTGCCCAATCTGAGCAGTGGATTTTTTTCAGAGGTGAAGCAGCCCTTTAATTGAAAAATGTTGAGAAGTGCTGGCCTCCAGGAGTACTCCTGCTACGGGCTGACTAATTTGATCAAGGCTCTAATTACTGTAATTCTCCTTAAATCCCTGAGCTTCTGGGTTATTTTCCCCTAAGCTAAAGCTTTAGCAGTTCATGCTGGTTCACAGCTGGCATTTTTTCCAGCGGGGCTGTAGACCTGGTCATGCTGTGCTGTATCCCTGTTGTTTGCCCTATTTCTGGGGTTATGTTTCTGTGTTAGGGAGAGTGCCTTCAGTGCCCTGGCTGTCTCCTCATGTTTTATTTCCTGCTGCAAATGCTTCCCTGGGAAGGGCAGGAGTGAATCTGCCCTGCCCCTCACACATTGCTGAAGGATGGTAGGTAGAGGAGAATACCTTGTAGTATAGGAGAAGGACAGGATTGAGCCTTGAGCACATGGGCTGGAAGGGGTACAGGAGAAGGAGAGGAGCAGTGGTAGCCTTTGGGATAGCACAGGCAGGTAAGGTGAACAGTCAGTTCAGGGTTGGGAATGATGATGGAGACTTTCCTGGCTGAACTCTCCCTTTCCTGGTTGGCCTTGAGGATCCAGTTCTACTTTTTTTAATGGAAATTTTCCTCTGCAAAAGGAGATAATGACACTCATTTAACTCTCTGGAATAGCCTGAAACTGTTGGAAACAGTAGCTATTAATAAAATTTCCATGCTAGAAGAAATACAAGTGATCCCTGGTAACTCGGTTGAAGCTTGCTGGAGCTCATTGCAAGAAGTGCCACTCCTGCTCTGGTCTGAGCACCACATTGCCTGCAGCAAGGTCACAGTGGGGTGGTATTCCCCAAGGCTGGAATGTTTGCATGGTCCCAAAAACAGCCCTAAAAGGCCTTCACCTGACGTTCCCAAGACTGACAGCTCACAAGCCCTATCTGAGGCCATACACAGTGCTAGAGGCAGATCTGGCTGACCCAAATCCTGCCCCAGTGACGCCAGCATGATCTGGAATCACTGGTGGGGTGGAGGTTGTCACAGTCCTTATCAGCCCCCTTCACATTAGTTCTGTGTGGAAGCCAGCCCCCCTCGGGTCTCAGACACCTGTAAATGTCATGGCTGTTGTCAGCCTCATGGCAGCAATGTCTGGCTGGATGAGGAAACCATGGGAAGTGGGTAATAATGGGAGCAGCACTACGGATAGGCTGTTTGGCTTTCCTGAAGCTGAGATTGCCTTATCTGAAAGGCCATCTGTGATTTTCATTTATTTTTAGGATCACTTAGAAGTCCATCTCCTTTCTTGGATGCTTTGTGGAAAATTGTGCTCTTTACATGTGAAATTCGTGCTGTGGCACTTCTCCAAATTGATATCAATCATCCCCCTGGGAGAGGGTGGGTAGATTTCTGACCTGCCACATCAGGGCTCACGTGAGGGACATATAGTGGTTTAGAGCCCTTCTCCTGTACATCACAAATGTGCAGAGTATCCTTAGCATGGCATCCTGCCCATGCTGCTGCACAGCTCAAAGCAGAGAGCCTGGCTCTGCTTGGTCTATTGGCAGGATGGCCACTACGGCAGGGAGGTCTCCAGTGAAAAGGTTGTCCCTGGCCCCTGCCAATACACACTCTGTCAGCCATTAGCCTTGCTTTTATACCCTGTGGCAGCATGATGGTCAGGCTGGGTCCCAAGTGGTTTGAAGCTGGGTGTATTGGTTTCAGTCCATGCAAACAAAGGTTTTCATGGAATTTTTCTTGTCATATGTGGTTTTTGTTGTCACCATTGTTCACACTTGCACAAAACACAAGTTGGAAGCTGAAGTGTGCTGTGTGGTTCGTCCCAAACCGCACATCTAGTGTTGGTTTGGTGCTGGGCTTGCCTTGCCCAGCTCTCTGCAGTCTAGGCACTCGACCTTCCCCCAGGCTGGACTGGCCACCATGCCCACAGCCAGCCCTCTGTTCAGGGGGATGCACATTGTCCCATTCCCTGGGCACTTCTGGGTCTCATATCTCCAGGGCAGGTGATTTCGTTGTGCCTTCTTCCTCCCCTAACCTCTTCTCTGCTTCCTTCATCCTTACTTCATCTTCCCCAGCTCACAGGATGTCTTCTTGGCCCCCATCCCTTCAGTCTATTGTGTGCAAATGAGCTGTCCAGGGCAGTGGAATGGAGCTCTGTAATGGAGCTGTGAGCACAAGTGTGCGTGGTTTAAAATAGCCCCTGTATTCAGGAAGCACGAACTGCCTGCCTGTCCCATGGCCCCTCCAGACAATGAAATATGCTGATGTAAAAACTGGAGCCCCAGAAGGACCAGGGAAATGGGGAGAGACCTACAAAGCTGCCCAGGTGTTCAGACAGGAGCATCCCTAAAGCAGACCAAGCCATGACATCCCCGTGGCAGGCCAAGGACAGATGTGCCCCTGGTGAATAGGCAGAGGAGCACAGGCTGCTCCCTGTATCTTGGTGCCAGGCTGCTGCCTTTGAGGTTTGTAATCTATGGACTATCGAAGGTCTAGTGAGGCCAGACAGCCACGGAACTTGGTCCTTGCCTTCTTCTCCTTGCTGCAATGGTCCACAGAGGAATTTGCATGAAGGGGTTGTCTCCATCACATTGTCACCATCCACAGTCAGTTTTGTCCAATCATGATCATGCTCTGCTTTCCTCCACAAGCCAGGGGGGCAGCCCAAGGCTGGTGTCAGCACCTGTGCTCAGCTACAGCAGCGATGGGAAGTCATTCAGGCACAGAAACACCAGAAGCAGGTAGTTTACAGCCTCTGTTGGCAACGAGCACTAGGTCCATGAGAGGTAGCTTGTCCACACTGCCAGTGACCTTGGCAAGTGTGTGATGGTGGACAGTTGCCATTTGCATTAGAGGTCGATGCATCGGGCTGTGGGATAATTTGGGATGTGCAAGGCAGGGAGCTGCTGCCTCTGCTCACCCCCTCTCCATAGACAAGCCCTTCAGCTGCCAAAAAGGCTGGTTGCATCCTACTTGGGAACATGCATGGCTGCTGAAACACTAGTCCTGTCCCAGCTGTCCCTCCCCATCCCACTCACCGCTCTCCTTTCTTTTCAAGAAAGAGGATGGCACTGTGAACCGGGACTTCAAGAAGACACGGACAAAGGAACAAGTCATGGAGGCCTTCAGTGAGTTTACCAGAGGAAACAGGAATGTTTTGGTGAGTGGGGGATACTGGTGGGACTGCCTAGAGAGGGCTTTTCCTGCGGAGACTGGCCTCACCTCATCAGCTCCCTGCCCTCCAGGGCTGAAGCCTGAGCAACCTCTCTTAAAAATGCATGAGAAACGCTGAAGAAAAACACCATCCTAGTACAAGGGTGATAGGAGGGCTGGGAAGAGACATGCTGACTGCAGCAGCACTCTTTGAACTGGGTTCGAGTCCGCTGAGGATGCTCAAGGATTGGCTCCCAAAACCCACTGAGGAATCACAGCTGTGCTCAGCCCCTCACCCCTGGGGCTGGTGGCTGCCTCTGAGCCCAGTCTTTACCCCAGTGTGCAGTGGTGGGGGCTCCCACCCTGGCAGAGTGGATGGCCCTGCACTCTGTCTCGCGGAAGGATGGCCCTGCGCCAGGCGCCCTTCACATGGGCAAGCTGCAGTCAACATTTTCCAAGTTTCTCTATGTTGCCAGGAGAATAAGAGATGTAGCTGTAAACAATTTACACCGTGTCAAATATCCTATTTGACAAAGCACTCCCATTTTAAGCTGTACTGTATAAAGTCTTCAAGTGCAAGGCTCCAGCTGGAGAGGCCCTTGGCACTGCCTCCTTCAAACCAGCATGTTCACTTTGACAGGAGTTACCTGGGGATTATTCCTGGATCTGAAAATTAAGTTGCCTGGCTGCATTTCATCCCCAAAGAGCTTGGAGCACGCTAATACTGTCATGCTGTGGCTCTGGACAGTGGTCCTTGGCCAAACAATTTTAACACAGTAACCCCCACATATCCCCTTGCAGATATGTTATAGTGCCCAGATTCCTATTCTGCGTGTGTTCCTGTGCTTAGTCCTTCTGACTAAACCCCTAGTTTGCAGGGATGCTCAAATAGGATCATGGGTCTTGACCTGTGTGCTGACTAGTGTGAAAGCCCTTCTGCCTACGGGACCAGCTTTGCAGAAGTGCTCATACGGAGTTACAGAACATTTGTCTCATGATGTTTGACTGACTGAGTGACAAAATGACAGATGAGGTGAAGAGCCAACCTATTAAAAAGGTGCAGGAGAGAGAAAAAAGCAGCCTGGTAGTGAGTGCTCAGCAGCAACTGCTGAATTAGCTGTTCCCTCCTTGGAAGCATGGATGCAGCAGGAAGAGTCTGCAGAAAGCACTGGTTCAGCAAAAGCAAATGATTTAAGTTTTTGAAGCCACAGGAGCTCATAAGATGGTGTGGAAGCCAAAGAAGGGACACCTTATGAGGGGACAGGTCTGTGGGAGGTTGCTGAGCACAGGGTGGCTGAGGAACACTCAACACTTGGCCTCTCTCCTTGCAAACGTGGTGTCATGGAGAGGATGCTGGGAAGAGGGGTGGCTTTCCTGTCTTCCCCGTGCTGCAGCTTTTATGTAGGTTTCACACAGCACTGACAGCTTGGGTTTGTTTGTTTTTCTGTAATTCCAGAACAGTTACCTTAACCGGTTGAAGGATATCCGTGCTACCCTGGAGACATCCCCATTCTTCAAGTGCCATGAGGTAATACTCATGTTTAGTTGCCTGGAAATGCAAACTGTTTAAACTCAGCTTGTCCAGGAAGATAAGTCAAAGTCGAGGCTGTAAATATCTATAATTTTGAATTTATGCTTATATCCGTATTTTCATAGCCCTGTGTATTTAATACTTACAGTACAGATGATGACAGATACAGTGTTCATCCATCTGACATGGGCTCAAATCTACTGAAAACCAATGTTCATAGAGATGAAAAGTGATCTAGGAGGAACTCAGGCTGCTTATGGGTTTATATGAAAAGAAAAAAATCCCTAGTGTAAAAGCACTATCAAAAGGTATCATTTGGCTGGCAGTTGCTCCATGTGATCAAACAGGGCTTCAGCAATATCCCCCACCTGCCTTTCCTGAGCTGGTTGGGGCACCACACTAAGAGCTCTTTCCTTGGAATGACTTTCCTCCAGAAATAAGTCTCCACAATACCAACATTTTCTATAGTGAAAATTCAGTTCTGATGGGAAAACAAAAGAGGAAGTGCTATGTTTTTTTGGCCATTATAACAGGAACTGGAATGCTTCACAATTTAATTGAATAATTGTATTGATTTGGAATTGGTAAAGAATATTTGCTATTGCATCTACTTAACAAAACATGAGAATGCATGTCCTGGTCACACGTGGGCAAAAGAGCCTTTGATTCACAGGGCTCAGGAGCCACAGCTCCAAGAGCCACTGTCCCTCACCCAGAGCCATGTGAGCCACCTCAGCCCCAGCCACACATTGAGGATCCTGCCAGGAGCTGGAGGCAGATGGTGCCTGTAAGGCAATTGGAAGGGAAATGTCAAAACTGAGGCTTTCAGGTCTGTTCAACACAGGAAATAAAATGCTCCCTGAACCCAAGTGCCAGGGTTTCATTTGAAAACACAGAAACATAGCAGCCTTTCAAGGAGGTTTTGAAAGGAATTTCCACTCCTTAAAAATTAAAAAGCAGCAGCTTTGACTTTCCATCATGCTTCGAGATGAAGTGCAGCAGAAGATCTGCCAAGCTCTGTGTGCCCCTCCACAGGGCCCTTTCTGGGCAGGGCTCCTCCAAGGAGCTGCAGGAGTATTCAGTGACCCAGGAGAGGCAAGCAAAGAACATCAGCAAAAGGCTTTTCCTTAAAATTAAAATTCTCTGTCCTGGTCAAGAGAGGGCTATAAAAGCTTAGAAGGAGAGGAGCTAAAGATAAGCATTTCTCAGAAATAATACGTATCTCTGCATCTTGGTTGTTTTCCCAATGCACTGGAGGAAAAATTCTGCTAAAAATGTAAATTCATAGCAGCTTTTGCAAACAGTACATGCTTACCATTCAAAACCCTTGTCTAAAGGCAAACCTCAAGCTAAACCCTGCTGATAGCACAGACATGCGAGTCCCCAGTGCTGCTGTTTTAGTGGGCTGACACCAACTGGATCCTCCTCCATGTATCTGTTCATCTTGTGGAGCACTCGTGGATCTCAGTGCAGTGGGTCACCTCTGCTACAGCCCTTGCATTCTGGTCACCAAGGTCTCCAGGCAGGAGACAGCATGTTGCATGTAACTTGTACTTGGAGTGTCACCATCCCTGCAGTGGTGTCTGCAGGACTGGTGAGTGTGAACAGCACAAGCTGATCACAAAGAACTGGCCTTGGAAAAAGTTCCCAGGCTGAGACAATTAATTTCATTCCTTCCTATGGGACCTTGGCTCAGTTTCCAAAACGACATCTCTATCTTTCATGTCCATGTTTTTCTGATCCTCTCGTTTTGCCAAGACCTGAGATTTGTATGAGTAAATCATCTTGTCTGAATGCCTGATTTGCATGTGCAAACACAGCCAGCAGCACCCAGAGCTTGCAAAAGCCTTGCGATAAGATGTCTGAAAGCCTCAAAGCTGAGAGGGAGCAGCAGGAGCGCCACTAACTGGTCTCACCTCTCCACAGGTAATTGGGAGCTCCCTCCTCTTCATTCATGACAAGCAGGAACAGGCCAAAGTCTGGATGATTGACTTTGGGAAAACCACCCCGCTGCCAGAGGGACAGGTTCTCCAACACAACGTGCCCTGGGTGGAAGGGAACAGAGAGGACGGCTACCTCTGGGGGCTGGACAACCTCATTCAGATCCTGACAGAGTTGTCCAAGAACGAAGACTTGCATTAAAGCCACACGTCCAACTCTGCCACTACCCCCAACCTGCCCTTGACTGACTCTTCTGAACTGCACTACAAGACACTTTCCTGCCCTTGCCCTTCCCATTTGAGATCTATACTCTCCCTATTTAATGCGTTTTTGTTGTGGTTTTTTAGGTTGTCTTGGTTATTTGGTTTTTTTCCCTTTCCATGTAAATAGAGAGCTAACCTGCCAGAACAAAAGCTGAACTTGAAACCTTTTTTCAGAGAGTCAGTGGGAGCAGGCGGCCATGCTGGCCGGGAGCAGCCCGCAGGGGTTGCTTAGGCAAGCGCATGCTTTTCCTATCGTGCTTTTGTCTCTTGCACACCCTGCTTTTAAGAGGGCTGGAAGAGGAAGGAGCCTCCCCCTACACTGGGATCAGTAGCTTTGTCTTGAAAACACTCAAGTGACCATGCCCTGGACACTCTGGCAGCCAGGGTGTGTGAGCAAGACCTGGAGATGGTGAAGGACACTGGGGTGAGAGCCCTTTAGTTGCCTTTGCCAACACCTTTCAGCCTAGGGCTGTGCCAAGTCCTTGAGAGATGCTAGAAGGGCAGATTTGAGTTGTCCTTTGTGTTCAAGACATCCTGTAGAGATTGCTCACTTATTTTTGAGCAGCACTGGAGGGCAAGGGTTTCCTTCCTGCTGCAGAGCCATGTAGTTGAGCACAGGTATTTACCATGGCCAGGTGCTTCCCATCCACCTCCCCCATGCTGGGGATAACAGTTTGAGCTCTTCTGTAGAGCCTCAGCTCCTCTGCTAGGAACTGCTTCCAGCCTGCCTTAGCTGAGGTCTCCTCGGCTGGGAAATACAGCTTATATAGGACTTCTATGAGACCTAAAGTAGCCATCTAGGTTGATCAGTCTTTTTCATCAGGAGCCAAGCATGTGTGTAAGGGTAGTGCCACCAATGCCCACACCTGGCCCAGGGCGACTTTCCTGCCTGGAACATCTCCATAATGTTTTATCCGCAGGAGGTGAAAAGTTACAGCATCAAACCAGCTCCCATGTCAGTCACCTTTGGCAAAGCACAGCTGGAGTAAGGCATCCCCATGTGCTCCCCTTTTATTCCACAGAGCTCTGACTGCTGCTAACACCAGCCTCCCGGCCTGCACGGGCTGTGTGGATGGCATCTGTACTCCTGCTCCTGCTCCTGCAAAAACACCCAGTTCTCTATTTAGGGTGGAGGCTATTTTTTAACTTCCTGGAACATTTGGACTCAGCAGCGGCAGAGCTGGCTCACTAAAGGTCAGCCATTGAGAGTGCTGCAGGAGGGGAGGCCAGCTGGGAGTCCCTCATGTTGGGGACAGGAGAATGCAGCACAGGAGGTGGTGTAGGAGCTTGACAGTCATGAACCCTCACCTGCTCCATCCCCAAACCCACTGTCAAATCTCTCTCCCTCAAAGCAGTGCTCCAGAGCCCCTCTACCATAGTTCAGTGGGTTCAGCACCCTCAGTGTGGGAGATCTCCCGGCAGCAATAAGGAGGAGGAGTCTGCAACCATGCCCTAGCCTCCTTCCTGAGGACTGAAATTTCCTAAGGTTCTTCTCAGTTCATATCTCACCAGACAGGTGTCTTTCACTCATCCGATGCCATTGTAAATGGTTGCACTGTTTTAGCTCCTTGCCAGGCTTTCTAGAATAGCCCATGTGGAAGTGCCTTACAGGCTTGCCTCTGTGTCATGGAAAAGGTTGGGTTTTTTTTAAGTTATATTTATTTTCATCCCATTTTAATTGCACAAAACACTAAAATTTAATGCATGGAATCCCTCTTTTTTTTATTAAACTGTGTTTTTAGTTTTTAAACTATCCCCTTTCCAGCTTTGGAGAAAGGGTGTGAACAGATATGCATAGCTACGTACCACTTACTGCTGTACTTTTAGCTTTGAGCTGCTCTTATATATGTATATTATTTTTTAAGCCTGTTTATAAACCAGATTCCTGGCTTCGTGGCTTTGGAAGAAGCAGATTGTTCCTCTCAGATGTCTGATGTCTTCCTAGAGGCTGGAACTGTTGCTGTGAGGGATTTTCCCTGTTCCCAACATACCTCTTGGTCATTGGGTAATACAGAAAAAAATCTGAACGGGTCTGGAACACCAGCGCACAGTGCCTGTAAAAAAAGTCCTTTAACATTGCAAATAAAGGCATATGGGAAGCATTCCCCTGGTGTGCAATCCATGTCTACCCTGCACAGCTTGTGGCAGCCTGGGAACAACCTGTCATGTCCGTGATGATTTTGGGGGGAATCCAGCTCCAGCAGTGCTTCATAAAAGCAGGAGTAGGGAAGGACCCTGTGCCGGGCACAGATCCTGACAAACAGGAACTGACTTTGCAGGGAGCAGGGGAGGGGGAGAGCAGAGCTGGGGCAGTGGGAGGCCCAGGCGCAGTGGGGGACACCCCTGGGAGGGACTTGAATTTCTCCATCCCATTTCTGCAGGGAAGTCCACCAAAGGAAGCTTCACATCAGGAATTTTTTTGGTCTTCATGCTTTTTGCTAGTGTTGCTTTGTGGCTCCCACTGCATGGTTTCTGAGTGCCACCCTGTGATTTCTGTGCTGGAGAATACCAAAGCATCCAGGGGCATCAGATCTGCCTGGCACAGCCAAGCACTTCCCCTGCTCCTCTCCCTCTCATCCTCGCTATGGACAGGGCCAGAAGGAGTGCTTTGGACCAAAGGCCACAAAAAAAATTTCTGCACTGAAGTAGTAATCAGGTTGTAGAGCATAAAGGCAGCTCCATCTGGTTGGTTGTGCAAGTACAAGAAGGCAGGAGCCTGGAGCAGATGTGGCTGAGAGGGGCAGGTGGGCTTAATGTCCAGATTCCCAGGAGCATCCCAGCCTGGGGACCAATATCAGCTCACCAGAGCCCCTCTAAAACAAACTACAGGAGAAACTGAGTGTGGAATTTGCTTGAAGACTAGAAACCTCCTGGTAGGAGGTAGAGCTGTCAGAATTACAGATGCTGCTCTCTGTGCACCAGCGGTCTCTTGTGGGCTGTGAGAAAGGTGAACACATTTCCTATCTGGCTGCCACGGACACTCCTGCAGCACTGTTACCAACAGCCTGTGTTTTACTTGTAGCTCCGTTTTTGGGGGGGCCACTGAGAGTCTCTCTGGTACATGACTCCTCTTCCTATCTTTGGAAGAAAACAAAACCCTCCAAAACTTACCAGCTGCACCCTGTTCTGGAAAAACAGAAGGTAAAGAATAAGAACATCAACCCTGTTCTGCAAAAGCCTGTATTAATAGCTAAGGAAACACCACAACGTCATGGTGGAGAGGGAAAGGGAGTAAGTCGTGGAAAGAATCCCCTGGTGACTGAGTGCTCACATCATCTGCTGACCCTGAGGTTTACACACTGCGTTGGGAGGGGACAGGCCCCCATTGGCACCAGCCACATGCCACAGCAAGACCTGGCCCCCCCCCCCCAGCTTTACTACGTCCCGAGAGAAAAGCCCAGTGGCTTCTTGCCACTCCAGGGATTAATAAACTAAATGATTCATAAACTAAATATTGAGAAGAGAGGCCAGCACTTCTATTAATGCAACAAAGAAAAATTTAGGCATTGCTGAGGCTTCTACTCTCATGAAACAGAGCCTCCCAGCACCTCCAGCAGTCCCAGAGGGTGTAAGGCAGCCTGCTCAGACAGGGGAGGGGGCAGCTCATTTCCTTCATCATTATCTTGTTAGGTACTACTTGCCAGAACAAGCCTCTCATAAACTGAGGCACTGGGGGCCAGTTGGGAGTTGTAACTTCTGAAAATGTAGGACTTGGCAGTGGTGGTTGTTAGGGGTTTGAGGCTCATGTGCTCTGGGTTGTTCACGGCACAAGCTGGCAGGGTTTTTGGGGTCTCTGGGAAGCACTTCAGGAGGTGTTTTGCCCGTGCCATGGACAATTCAGAGCAGCACTACTACCTGACCCCCAAAGCTGGAGCTCCCGCCCTGAGAAAGGGCTGGAGAGGGTCACACTGCCTAAGCAATGAGATCTCAAAAGGAGGGTATTAAATAAATTATTTAAGTCACTGCCACCTAAATACTGCTGGCCACAAATGCAGGTGTGAAGAAACTGGGAGAGATCCCAGCTGTGCCAGAGAGGTTTTCTTTCATTTTGGTGCTGGTGCTGCCTGCAATGGTGTTTTCCTTCTAGAGAGCCCTTGCTGCCAGCCCGGGACAAGGTAGTTCCAGCAGCTTGAAAGCTGGCAACAGCCCCTTTGAGTTTCACCCAGGACACCCATGTTCTCCTGTAGTGGGTGCTGGGTGCAGCTGAAGGGAAGAGGGAGCAAGAGGGAGCTGCCAAGGTGGGAGAGCTCCTGCCTTTGCAGTGCTGAGAGAGCACATGGGGGCAGGAGTGGCTTGGCAGGGGGTACCAGGATGGCCAAATAGCATCTTGGGGGACAGGTGTGTGCTTAGCAGACAAGGGATGCCTTTCCCTTAGCCACTCTGCCTTGGGGATGTGCCTGCCCCCTCCGGAGCTGCTGGTGGAGCCCGGGAGGTGGCTGTGCGGGACAGAGAGGCTGCCCGGGGTGCTCGCTCCGGCCCTGGGCATCGCTGCGTTGGAGCTTGCCCCTCACCCCCCAGCAGCTGTGGGAACTGGCGGGTTGCTAAAATGGATAATCATCCTTCCCACCAGCTGCTGCGATCCGGCCCCTGCCG